GCAGCAGCAGCAGCAGTCGAATGCGGATACACTGCAGCGCGTATCTCCTTCAAGAGTTTTGCTGCTGCTGAGGGGGGAGGCAGGGGGGACCCCAATAGCTACACAACGCAGCGGCAGCAGATCAGCAAATGCTGCTGCTGCTGCTGCTGCTGCTCCTGTTGCTGCTGCTGCTGCTGCAGACAAGCAGCAGCTGCTGCTGGTACTGCTGCAGCTGCTGCTGCAAGCAGCAGAGGTTGAAGACACAAGCCCCGGGCCAGCAGCAGCAGCAGCAGCAGCAGCAGCAGCAGCAGCAGCAGGTGCTGCATGCACCGCTCGCCTGCATTTCTTCTTAGAGGGTTCAGTAGGGAGGGGGGGGGCCCCCATGGGGGGCCCCCCAAGGGTCCTATGATAGGCTGCTGCCTGCTGCTCATCACCCCACCTGCTTCGGTTTCTGCTGCTGCTGCTGCTGCTGCTGTTGCTGCTGCTGCTGCTGCTGCTGCTAACTAGAGAAGGGGCCCCTGCGGGCGCTTGCTGCTGCTGTCTCTTCTCTTCTCTCATAGGCGGAGCTTTCTCGCAGCACTGCAGCAGCAGCAGCAGCCGCTGCTGCTGCTGCAGTGCTGCTGCTGCTGCTGCTGCTGCTGCACCTGCTGTTGCTGGAGCGTCAGCTAGGGCCCTACCTTCTCAGCAGCAGCAACAGCAGCTGCAGCAGCTGCAGCAGCAGCAGCAGCAGACAGTAAGGGGGCCAACAGACTCGAGGCTGCGGGGGCCCCCAGACAGAGGGTACAGGGGCCCCCCTTCACCTATATAGGGGGCCCCCCAGCGAGGGATGAGGGGGGCCCCCCTTGAGCGTGTAGGGGGGCCCCCTGAGGAAGAGGGGGGCCCCCCTAGGATCGAAGGGGGGCCCCCCAGGGGGAGAGAGGGGCCTCCTAGTTTGTGTTTGTGTTTTTGCTGGCGGCGGGCTTCGTGTGTTTGTCTGATGAAGAAGAATTGCTGCTGCTGCTGCTGCTGTTGCTGCTGCTGCTGCTGCTGCTGTTGCTGCTGCTGCTGTTGCTGCTAGGAGCCCTGTAGGAGTTTGGTTGAGTGTACATACACCCCAATACACAGAAGAGAGATAAAAATAAACAAAATAAATAATAAATTAATTATATTATTTATTTATTTATTTATTTTATTATTCTTTCCTTTATTTATATAAATCAACGCTTCATACACAAACCCCTGCTGCAGCTAGCGGATCGATGGGGGGCCCCCCGGGGGGCCCCCCTGGGGGCCCCTTGAGGCCCTCACGGGGCCCCCCATCGCTCTCGTCT